AGTCAAGTTGAAATGGCAACATCCTTCTCTAAATTTTACCCTCGGGTGAGTCAACTTGGAATGACCACTTCCTTCTCTAAATTTTACCCCTGCCTTGCCCACAAAAGGGTGGGTCAAGTTGAAATGGCAACATCCTTCTCTAAATTTTGGTGCTTGGTGGACCGCAGAAGCCACTTCAAGAAAAGCACGAATGCCTCACCTTCCAGGACGTTGATGTGTGCATGAAATTTGGAGCGAACACTGAAGATGTCGGAAAAGTGCTCAAGCTTCAATTTGTCAGAATCATGGCCAAGTAGCGTCCCCCCGGCACATCCAGAAAGTATCCATCTACTAAGTCAACCCAAACACAGGTACCACAGAGCGCGTCGTCAACGTCCTTCTTAAGATTTCGGACTGCGCATCGTGCATCCATAGCTGCATCGAAAGCTCTTGCTGCTTCACAGGTGGCACCAGGGCCAGCGTCGCTGAAAATCATGACATCATCGGTGGCCACCGCAGCAACAAGCTCAAACGATGTAGGTGTCACGCAATCACAAGCCAAGAGAGATGAAGTTGGTATGCCAGCATCTTGACAAACACTCAGCATCTCTTCTTGGGCTATGTAAGAAGACCAAGAAAATCCCATAGGCCAGACGCAGTGCAAAGGATATAGCAAACCTTCGCGCCAAGCATGTCCATCTTCCATGTGCTGCCGCTGATCCGCCACTGACATTCCAGCATTGACAAGTTCCACTGTGGAGATGGGCGGTTTGGCCATGTATCGACGAAGAGAGCTGGGAAGCTTCAACTGGTCAAACCAACACGTAGCATCGCGCTTGCTAAGGCGTAGTGGTCTTCCATCGCTGCACTCCAGAAAGGTCAACGCAGTTGGGGAAGCCAAGTGTCTCGGCTTTGGAGGTGCAGAAGCTGATTCTGAAACACGTCGGCCGTGCCATACCTCCCTCAGGCGTTCACCCCCAGGCTTCCCAACAGCGAAAGTGGTACCACCACCCTTGCAAAAAGTTGCTAAACTCAACTTACCACACCGCAGCTGCTTGACAACCAATTTTGCATATTCCTCTTTCGGGCCCTTAAGGAGAAAGATTCAAAAACACGCAAAGAATCATCGCTGTTGTCAAGGATTCCTTCAGGTGTTGCCAAGCTGGCCCGCACATGGGCTGGCAAGTGGGGCAAAGGATCGCATAAGCCAGCCGCTTGCAAGTTGTCCACCCTGTCAGCAACCAAGTCTTGGAAAGAAGTTGTACCTGCAGTGAAACCTGGCACAAAATCTGGCACAAACCGCTCCCAGCCATCTTGCGCATGTTGCAGGCGTGTGAGTGTCCACACTGTGCGATCCACGATGTTTTGCAAAACTGCTTGTTGAGCGAACGTGTGCTTGCCAGTCGGCACTGTCTGCTTTATGCCGTGCAACCAGTTCAGAATGCCAATGACCACGTTGATGAATTGGAGGAGCACGCTCCACCTGCCACTTGTCATGTCTACAGGCTTCAGCATGCTACCACCAAGCGGGGCCAAGGGAAAAACATCTCGTTGCCGAGTTCTGACCGGCGGCTGCACAGGCAAGGAATTGCAAAGAAATTCACCCAACACTCCAGTTCCAGTTTTGGCGGCAAGGGCGAGACGGTAGAACAACCAAACCTTGTCTGATGGAATGGTGGAATGGCCATCTGCCCTCCATGGCAGCCACAAAGCCCTTCTGCGTCGGGAAGAACAACGGCTGGCAGAAGAACGGCCCTGTTTTCGATCGGAAGCATTCTGACGCGTGGCATGAGCAGAGGCTCTGTGGAAGTCGCGTCTTTTCTTGGATGGTGACATGCAAACTCTTCCCCGATGAAAACTTCTTTGCTGGCGGAAACCAAAAAACTCCAGCGAGGAGATCCAACGAGAGAGGAGCTTGATCACTGCCCACCCATGCCGGACGGACCGACACAGACACCGCACGAAGCGACCCTGATATCTGACTGGAGCCCATTTGGCCACATTTCTACCGTTCATTTAAACAATTGATATCAGTTGATACTGGAACTCATCACTTTTCGGTTTCTGCTGACGAATGCATCACCTTTCACTGAACGGTTCGTTCATGAATAATTGTCCATTCGGTAACACCCCGACGCTTACATTCGATACTAAAGGCCCCCGACATTTAATTCTGTACTAAAACTCCCCGACGATTACATTCGGTACCAAAGCCCCCCGACAATTACGTTTTGTACTAAAACCTCCCGACAATTACTTTCTGTACTAAAACCTCCCGACAATTACTTTCTGTACTCAAACCTCCCGACAATTACTTGCTGTACTAAAACCTCTCGAAAATTACTTTCTGTACTAAAACCTCCCGACAATTACATTCTGTACTAAAGCCTCCCGACAATTACATTCTGCACTAAACCCTCCTGACAATTACATTCTGCACTAGGACCCCCCAACGTGACCTCTTCCCACAGTGCCGCATAAAAAAAAGAACCCTTAGCATAAAAAAAGAAACCATTAGCATAAAAAAAGAAACCAGGAGCATAAAAGAAAGAACTGCAAGCATAACAGAAAAAACCATTAGCATAAAAAAAAGCACTATAAGCATAAAAAAAGAAACCCATACCCCAAAAGCACACCAACCCCGCTGCGAGCATAAGAAAAAAACCTTTTAAAAAAAAAAACACCCAGCCCAAAAATGAGGCAGACCTTGAACCAATGGCTTTCCACGTTAATGTACTTCCCCTCTCCCCTCTGTGCTTTGAGACCTTGAGACTTCTCCTCTGGCGCTTCAAGCGCACGGCGACTGTTTGCCGGGCCACGGCCCCGGCAGCGGTAGCTCCGTCCCAGGCGATGGGAAGAGAGGAGCTGAAAGTCTTCGTAACCTAAGTTCTACAAACCTTGATGGGTCTGCAAGGCCTTTGTTCTTGCAATTCCACAAGCCAGGTTGTGATGGATAGGAAGGATGGAAGGACGCATGATTGTTGTGCAGATTGCACGAGCCTGGCCAACTCATGGCGCCAAGCAACGTTCTCCAAGACGATGTGCCCCCAGTCGAACCGTGCGAAGGTTTCTGAGATAGGAGTCTGGAGCGAAGGAGTCCCGAAGAAGGCGACAGGCCAATGTGATCAAATCCAGCAGCTGGAGATTCGCCAGCGAATCCCCGGAGCAATGAAGGCCATAGCGCGCCATCAGCGCCTTCCACCATGGCATGTAGGCCTCTTCATTTCCAAGAATTTGCCAAAACGCTTCATCCTTCAGTTGCCCGGAGCCAGGCAGCAAAGATGCAATTCTTTGCGCTAGCGTCTGCAATGGACGCAGGACAACTAAATCATCCCAACGCAACTCGTCCTTGCCCTTCTGGCTGGTCAGCTGTCCACAGACTTGCTCAATGATGGTCGCGTCTGCAAGGGCAGTGCAAAATAGCTCAAACAGTGCTAGTACAACGTTAGCCGCCCCTGCTTTTGCACCGCCAGCTTGCAAGTCTTGCAGAACGTGCTGATTTACTGATTTGTGACTCGGATCTTTGGGACTAGGTGGCCGCACCACACAGGGTGGGCCAGGTGACATGCCTCGGGAGCGCTTGCTGGAAGAGGTTCGAAGCAGCTTTGCCGAGGTGTACTGCGGCGGGCTGTCACGGCCCAGAAAAGTCGAAGCCAAGCTTGGTTGAGATTCCAGGACTGAGCTCAGCTTCCGTGATGATGGTGGGTCTGGTGTACGCGCCATTGCACACGGAGAGCCGTGTGCAGTGAGTAGTGGATCTGGCAGAGGACTGTCCTCTACTTGGGCTACAGCGGTTTGAGGATTAGCCATGCTTTGGCTCAAGAATGTGTCTTTCTGATAGGTCCAAAGGGAAGCCCGCGCTGTTTCGGCCAATTTGTCACCCTTGAGCGGTCGAACTCTTTCGTGGCCACCAAACACCACAGGCTGGCCACCCTGTCTGAACTGATACGTCACAGGCACCGGGCTCGTAGTTCGGTCACTCAAAGCAGGTGTGGACAATGGTACTGGCAGAACAGTAGCCGTGGAGATGGGCCTCAGGCTTCGACGTCGAACCGACCTCTGATCGGCCTCCCTCCGTCCCCACTTCTCCCCTACCATCTTTCAAAACTGGAGCGCAAACATTCACAATTCATCACCTATTCAACTCAACTTTTAGAAGATGAAGTCTCTTGTTGACACATCAAGGCACGAATCGCCGGGCTGTGACTGTGTCATGTGCATGGTAGCCTGTTGGGGAGTGCCAGCTGCAGCTTGTTTGGGAGGACTTGCCACAGCTGGTCGTGCAGGACTTGCATTGCGCGAGATCTGATAACTCAGCCTGGCAGCTTGGCAGCTTGGCTGGATGAGTTCTCAGAGTCCACAAGCGAGGTATTATCAATAGAGTGACTGCAAATACAGGCGTCTTTTCTCCGTTTGTGGTCGAAAGTCTGCCAATGTCACTCTATCGACAAAGGCCCTTTGGGTCTTGCGGGTCTCAACCTTCACCACAGTATCGTGCTGGTGGCGAAGTGTTACAACTAGAAGATACCGTGGTTTCTTTGATATGTTTCCAGTCCCGCAATGCAACACGCGGCTGTCGTACAGCACTGCATCCCCTGCTTTCAGGAGTGCTAGGCTTGAAGTTACTGTGTTCAGAAAGCCAGACTTGTCAGCTGAAAATCGCCGGTGTGCTGAATTCATGTGCGTCTCAGGCACAAATCGCGTGGGACCCATGTCGCGGTCCACATCTTGCAGCGCCACGAAGGCCGTGAAAAGTGCGGGATGAAACGAGCTCACGTCGCAGTGCAGTTCCTGTGCCACAGCTCCAGGCCCAGCAATCAAGGAAGTAAACTCCCAAAGCTCTGCATCTGGGCCAGCGAGCTCGGCCAAAGCGGAGCCCATAGGACCTTGAAGAAGCTCCACCAACACCTTTGCCGTCAAATGGCAATGAGGCAGCAGCAGCTCCCACCTACTTTGAGGTGTCAGGTTTGTAGCGCGTGTCTGCCTAATATGCCTCGAGAAGTGCAAATACTTCGTGCAGGGGTCTGCTTCCACTGCAGCCTTCGACTTGGATAGCTCTTGAGCCACATAGTTGCACATGTCCTGCACCGATTGGCGCGACAAAACATCAGCCACCACGGCCACCCCTTCCCGCTTCACTTCAGAAACTGGATCCGCGGCCACTTGGAGCACACCCCCTGGCCCCAGCAGCATGTCTTGGGCGGCAGCTTCGCGAGAAGTAAACAGCCACGCATCACCTTCTCCTGTCAAATTGCTGTTGTCCTCTACCTGTTGCATAGCCACATCCCAGGGGAGCATGGGCCCCTCAGTGGACATGGAAGAAGTGCTCCTGAAACCATCCTGTTCTTTGGGGATCTTTGGCACTTTTCGCCGTCGAACACATGCAAACAAGTCCCCCCAGAACAGGAACCCCAAAGATAGGACTAACAAATGCCAAGCTCGCACCCTCGGCATGGCATCGGAAGTCAGTTTGATGAACACAGCACTAATTCATCAAGACTAGTCAGTCAAGTCTTTGTGGATTCCGCTTCTGACTGCAGCCACTTGTGTTTAGTGACCTGGCAACCCTGCAATTTCTCACAGAAACGAAAGAACTACTCATCAAACCGCAACACCGTCTTATCTGAAGAGTGTCGCCCTGTCTTATTACTAGCCTTGACACGCACTGCGGCACAGATCCGTGAACAAATTTGCTTGTGAATTGGCGACACTGGCAACGAGGCAGCCTCGTGAACGGTGACGGGGATCGCCTTGCAGCTGGCTCCAACCATTTTCGGCAACCCACATGCTTATGGCGGATTCTCTATGTTCTTTGACAAGGGGAAGCTTTTGTGTTTTCATGACCTCACTTGAGCAATCCTGACTTACTTCTTCCCCGCCTGTCCATCATCAGAATGGGCTGAGAAACTAACGGCATTGAGACTTGTGGGTGCCAGCGTGCCACAAAAATTGCCTTAATGGCAGACTCCAAGGGGGCAAAATGTTTGTCAAATGTCAAATGTTTGTCAAAATGTGGACAAATACATCTCACCCCTTGGTGCCATGGCTTCTGCACCCACACTTAGGTCGGCCAGGCTACAGGAGGCGCGGCTGCAGCTGGAGCTGCTGACACGGGAGCAAGTGAAGGGGCTGCAGGTGGAGCCGAAACAGCTGGAGCGGCCGATGCTGGTGCGGTGGAAGCTGTTGCCGGAGCTGTGGCTGGAACTGGAGCGGCTGGCACAGCTGGGGCAGCTTGCAACGCTTGGGCTTGAGCGGCTTGAGGCTGCGGAGCTGCTTGTGGTGCTTGTGCTCGGGAGTGGCGTGGGGATCTGCGGGCCAAGGGTGCATACATCTGCTGCATGGCCGCTGCCCTGACAGGACTCACAGGAGAAGGTGCTCTGGGCACGCCTGTTGAGCGAAGTATCTGAGATGGTAGACTCGCAACGGTCGGAAGGATCGTTCCGGTTGGATTTGGTGCGGCGGCACATCGCACAGGTGACGTCCGGGGAGATGCGACCCATCTCACCGGGCTGACCCGCACTTGCGGCGCGAAGCCACCTTGGCCGTGGCTACAACCGAACTTCACAAATTTGATGCCTCCACTTCACAGATCAAATCCCCCCAGAAGCTGCAAGTTGAAATCCAACGTCAAGAATCAAGCCTTTCGAGAACTCGCGCCCAAATACATGTTGAAGTATCTACTGAGAACAAGGGCCTGAAACAATCTTGCGGAGCGGATCACATACTGTCCCAATCCACGCCTGCCACCGGGGCAGGTTGGCCACACCGTCCACTGTTCAAAGCACCTTGGTTTTCACTACATACCCCCCAAAGGTATTGCTACAGCTTAATTTGCTCCACTTGCTCCTAAAATAGCTTCACAGCTTGCAGAACACCTGTCCATGCAAGATCCATGCGGTCTAACACGGTTCACCAGGCTCATCTGAAACGTTTCACCTTTCTCAAGTTTGCCAAGGCACTTGTGGCAATACTGGCCATTGAAGGTTGGCTCAGCACCCAATGAGGGCTGTGCGCTCTCACCAGCTGCCCTCGTACAGGGCTAACCACCACCCGGCCTTGGTGGTCAACCGGGTGATGAAACTCAAGTGACAATATGATTCTGTGAAACCAGGCCAGGTGTGAGGAAATCCCGACTCGCAGCAATTTTCTGGGATCAGCCTTCTCGCCACGGGTGGCGCAGGCTGCCAGAAATCAGTTAGACTTTCGCACGACAGACGAGAAGCCACATGTGGAGGGAAACATCACAAGACACAGAACGACAACCTCCATTTAGGGAAAAGAGCTATCAAACTGAAAAAAATACATAAAGTAAAAATCATCAGGATGAGAGGAAGGAGCCAAGGTCAAGAGCAAGTACTACCCTGGGTATGTGAAGGGTCGGTCACCAACCTCCAAAATGCATCCGAGCAGGATCAACACTTCCACCCAAGAATGCGACCCCTGTCAGCCAATAAAATCATGGCCTTTACCTGCAAAGCACCTCCCGCAGGGTCCTCATGGTTGCTGATCTCTTTTTGTCTCATCACTGTTGATCAAAGCCATGAGAGGCTTAGAGGCCTCCATGAGATTCCTGAAGGCCACATTGAGCCCAGAATCGTCTTCTCTGTTTAGAGCTGAGGAGCTGTAGATGTGCAAGCCATGCGAAAAATTCCGCAACGCAGGCAGCCTCCAGGGACCACCGGTGTCTGCAGGATTCGTGCGGGGGACCGCCTTCAAAAGAACCGGCACATCCCAGTAAGTTCCAGTAGGAGGCTGAAATACCTTGACTCCATGACGGGCAGCGGCTTCAGCAAAGTCTCGAAAAGCTAGCATTGTCTGCTCCAGCCCATTCTCTTTGGGGTGCTCCATGGTGCGTTGCACCGCTTGCCGGACGCGGCCCAACCGTTCTGCCCATGCGATAGTTCTGCCCTGCGCTACCAGCTGGAGGCATATCAACGAATCGATGACACGAACCTTGGACCATTCAACAATTGCCACCCTAGTCTCACCAGCACCCCTCCATCCCTTTTTTCCGAAGTCATCCTGGCTGACAGGCATCCAATTGGTCAAGGGTAGCAACCTCTCTTCCAAAACTTTCGTCAAAGCTCGGACCATTTCGCGACCATGAATGGAAGTCGGGTCCTCCCTGGCAATCTTCCAAGGCTCACCTACCTCCACCAGCACTGCTGTCCCAACCTGGCAGTGAGCTTCGAAAGCCAAGTGGATTGGCACCAACCAAACGTCGCCGCACTGCATCGCAATCCGCACCGGTCCAGTGTGCACCTTCCGAATGTGGGGATGCATTTCTCGAGCGCCACCCACAGCCACCCAGATGGCAGTACCTGCCCTCAGGCGTTCCACAATGTGGTCAAAAGACATACCTTGCGTGATGTGAAGACACATCTCCAAGTAGTTGGTATACCTTACATCTGGATGTGGAATATAGCATCGGATTTGTAGATAGGTGGCATATCTTCCCCAAATTGCATCAAACAAACTATAGAGGATTGAGTGTAGATGGCACAATCCCAAAAAATTGTCTATACACATGGACCCCCATCTAAAATACATCTTGGGGGTTGTGCCATCTACTCTGACACCAGTGCCACAAAAAACAGGACGAGCTTCTCGAACCAGTTTTGGGTCAAGCAAAAGCAGGGGAAGGGAGAGACGTACTGGATGAGCAGCCGATCAAGAAGTCCAGTAGGATGATTCGAGCAAAAGATTAACCTGTGGCCAAGCTTCCCCGTAAGCACGTTGTGCGGATCTCTTATGCTCAACTCTCCAAAGTAGAAGCGGAAAAGAAGCATGCTCACAAGGTGTTGGTATGTGAGCCAAAGAGCTGCAGAAGCCGTGGAGAGCTCGAAGAGCCAGGCCACAAGTTCAAAGGGGAAAAGCACTGAAAGGAACACCTTGTCCAAAACCTCAACTGCACGCTTTCAGGACATTATCATTGCTCTCGTCAGTACTCCGACTAGAAAAAATATAACTTCGTGCATCGTCAAGCAGCACACAGGTGTTGCAAACTCAGCCAAATGATACGAAGCTTTCGCAAAGGATTGTACCGCTCGGACTCTCGCGCGGTTGGAGCCATCTACCTTCAAGCTGAGAACGTTTCAACAGGCTACAGCCTTCTTGCAGCATCTTCTGTGAAGAAGTGCCCACTGGGTTCTGCCATTCAAGACACCCTCAAGTTGACCTGCCCATCTCATCTGGCTCGAGCCAACACGCAGCCTACCCTCTAAGACACTCTGTCACAACAATGCGCGATAGGTCTTGGACTCAACTGCCCTGTAATAGTTATATAAAGGGTCCTCAATGACCATGAATCTTGCTGAGTAGCCCCTGAGAACCAGGCCCCTGGGACTAGCATGAGGAGAACTTGGCCTGCTGCAAATGATGCCCCCAAGCTTTCAGCAAAGCATGTGGGCAAGTTGGTTGCATCATGTTGTTCCCATCAGGGCGCCGTTCAGAAACAAAAGGCTAAATTTCTACTGACTGCAAACCACAGTCAGTCACATTCCCAGCCACGGGAAAACCGGAGCCTCGGCACTGGCAGGGTGACACGCGAACCTGAGGTGGTGGCACACATCACACATCAAAGCATCACCGCGGCCACAAACACCGAGACCTCCTTAGGTAGCGACCCACTGCGGCGCCAGCAAGTTGAGCCAGCGAGGCATAGACAGTCGGCGAAGCCACCCGGAGTGACCCTGGCGGGGCAAGGGAGCCCAGAGAGTCCAGGGGGCCCAGAAACCCAGCCCGGGGAGCCGGGATCCAATGTGCAAAGACGCTACTAGGAACAAAGGGCATCGCTACTAGGAGCCAAAACGCTACTAGGGGCTCCCGGCCTTACTACTGGGAACAAGGTTCGCTACTAGTAACAAAGGAACATGGGTTGCCAAAAGAGCATTCATGTTTGTAGCAGAAAGGGGTTGTGCAGTCCAAGACTTGTCGCAATGTTCCATGAAGCTTTCCCTATACCAACGGCTCTACCGGAGACGAACCTCCATCGTGTGCCATGCGAGGAGAGGTGATGAGACGATGGCCTTGGAGCCAAGACCCTGAGTGAAGGACTTTCCAATCAATCCACACTGCACAGCGCCACACAGTCAAGTCAGCGCACCTTCTTTTCTGGCCTTTGCCGTTGGCTTTGGCAGCTCTTCAAGGCAGCTCAGAAATTGCCGAGTAGATGCTTCGCAGGACTGCATTTGCAGTTGCATCTGACGGCCAAGGAGCGACAGCAGCAGCTTCAGTAGTTTCAGCTACAGCTCTGTGTGGAGGTGTCGTTGCAACTCCATCACTTTGGGGCATATTTGCCCAGACTCGATCCAACTCGGACCGCACTGCAGTGGCAAATTCCGCCAACTGCCGCTGCTGATTCTCAACTTGTTCCTCCAAATGTCGGGTGTGCAACACCAACCCCGCGGATGTCCTCTCAGACGACGACAGCTTGTGCTGCAGCGTGGCAATCTCTTCTCCGTGTCTCGTCCTCAGTGCAAAAGCTTGGTGGGATCTATGGAGTGGGGGGGAGTTCAATTTCGATTGTTGGGGCATCTGTGCAAATCTGGGAGCCGCTCATCTCTTCCGCGAATCTGGGAGCTGCTTCCCTGCCTCGTTCCCGGGCCAGCTCACCTTGCAAAGCTTCTCAAACAATAGCTCAAGAGTATGGCAACGGACTTTGACTGAAATGACAAAACAAGACAAGACAAGACCTACACTTCTGTAATACTGATCTACTACATATATATATATACATACATGTATATATATATATACTGCACATCCTCTACCTCTTTTCCTCTGCCCTCTTTCACCCAAGAGAAGCCATCAGTTGTGCCTCCCAAACGTTGAGCTTCTGCCTCAGCAGCTTTCCGGGCACCGTTGGCCACCGCCAACTTTTCGTGAAGGCTCTTCACCTGCTGCACCAACTCAGCCTCCCGAGCCTCCCGCTCCTGGCTGACCGAAACGACCGAGACGACTCGCGGAGGAGCCTCCCCGGCCGACATCACAAGCGATTCCATGGACCCTCGACATTCCCAACCCCGTTGGCTCAAAGGGCCAACGCACATACTAGTAGCTTCTTGCACCTAGTAGTAAGGCCAGGAGCCCCTAGTAGTTTCTTGCTCCTTGGCTTCAGATCGATGATTGGACCTGTGCTTTTTGCACAGCCCGCACCCAAGCAACATCACATCTTCCGCAGCATTGTCTGGGGATTTCTGGCTTGTGAAATGGGTACATTGGCAGTCAGGCAGTTCGTTTGGGTTTCCGCTCCAGACTGTCCACCAAAATCTGTTCATAGAGGAGCTTCATCTACGTGCACCTATTTTCATCGTTGGAAGCGGATCCCAATACGCTCAGCTCTACACAGGAAATCTGGCCATGGCCTCTTGGAAGCTATCCCAAACCTGCAAGCAAAGCATCATCATCAATATCAGACTCTTCTGCATCCGACTCATCAGAATTCAGCTCACTTTCAGCCGCATATGCCACATGAGGCCCAGTACTCCTGTCTGGTGCTGTTGCTATGGGTTGGGTCACAACAAAGTCTGCCTCTGCATTAGCTTTGCTCTCTTTGGGATGCGCATCCTCCATGGCATGGGCGGGCGGTGGAGCATGGGAAGTCACAGCCGTGGCCAAGGCATCCCAACCTGCAGAAGCTCCTACTGTACTTTGTAGTTCTTCACCTTCCTCGTGCACTTTGGGCTTTGAGGTCTCAAAGTCCTCTTGCACCTCCCGAGCCAACTCTTCACGCACCGGGTCAGAGGGTTCCGCCAAATCCTCTTGTGACACATCATCGGTCACATGGAAGTCAATATGTTGTTGCACCTGTGGCACATGCGAATGTGACACATGCTGTGGCACAGCCTCAGAGCTTCTAGAATTGTTGCACTTCATCAGCTCTCCCTTGGCCAAAAGTTCTTCCACCGACCGTTGAAGAGTGGAACTCTTCCACAGCAAATGCATGGCTTCTCGCATGACATGGCGCTGGCATCGTTCAGCAGTGCGAGCCAAAAGGGATGCCTTCATCAGGACTTGCGGGAGAATGTTTGGCTGCATGTTTGCAAGGCTTAGGTTGTCCCACAGGATCGCGGCCAACTTGATCACCTCATCTACTCGAGCTTGATCTTCACATAGGGACTTCACTAAGTCATCACTATGAAGTCCGGGTGAGTCCTGAGTTTTTTTGGTGAAGTGGGTGGCATGCCCCTGGGTTACAACATTCATATGGCCCACGTCCAGCCGTCTAAAGTGTGGTGTCGATGTAACGGATTCTGCAAAGTTGGGTGAGTATGCAGCCGACGGGGACACCTCACTAGCTGGGCTTAGCGCATTGCTGGAAGTCGGTTGCTGTTTCATCTTGTTATCCATCTCTGCTTGGACATTCCGTAGAGCGTGCACGACCTGAGATTGCCTCTCCTCAAAATGCTTTCGACGCGAAAATGTTGCCCAGCGTCTGATCGCATGTCGAAGGTGCACAGCTACTATGGAGAAAAGGGTCTGAAAGCCAAGATGAAAACTTCCGCCTTCAAAGCCTGCGCCTGTTCGCAAACTGACCTCTGAAGGCATTCGACTATGCTCACTCGGTGCCACTCGACGCCCTGCTCGATCCTCATGGTCAAGCATCACCTCAGCTGCACCGCTGAGCTCCAGATCCTCCGCTTCGCTGAGCTTAAGGTCTTGGAAGGCATAGCGGAGCTGCCGTTGCGAATAGCTGTTGCAAAATCTCTGCACCTGGATTGCCAGATATGGATAGTTTTTCCCTGGCATTGTGAGGGAAGTTCTCAGCACACCTTCAAACGCAGCCGGCCAATTTGCCGCAAACAGGCCATGCACGGCCTTGTCATGTCAAACAGGTTGTGTTCTGTGATTTGGTCCCTTTGCGGCATTGTTTCATTGAACTTTTTCTGAGGTCTGACCAATTCTTGCAACGGGAAACAATGAGAGAGCAGGCAAAAATGTTAGAAAACGACCTAGCTGCGGCAAAAGCCAGTGTTTGCAATGGAGTCTTTTGAACTCATATGGCTTCTCGGTCGAGCTTTGAAAGCGAGGCAATGCCAGGGAAGAGCAAAGGTTCATGGACAATGAAAGCTCTACTGTGATTCAAAAGGCATGTATGCAGGACGAAGCACTGCGGCAGGTAGCGCAAATTATCAATGCAGCGACGAACGAGAAAAAGGACATAATGTTTGAGTGTGACTCCTTCCTGCGACTGGCAACATGGCTGCGGCCTGAAAACTGCTCTTCAGTTCGGCCAGCTCCCGCAAGACCTGAACAGCAGGCTCCAGGCGCCCCTGAAACTTTACATACATATATCATATATATATATATGTATACATACACGATCCAAATCTCCAAAAGCCCATTTCCGATAGAAGCTTTCGGTTTACTTGCAGTCTTACAGAATGAAGACTACATGGTTGTGGTTGTCAACATGACAGTCACAGCAATGTAAAAAAAAGGGGGCCCTTGTACGATGAGCACACCCATTTCCAAGCCCAAACAAGAAATTCTCACAGAGCATTCCCTCAAGCCTCCTCGTGCTCCAAAGCTTGCGCATAAACGTCCTCGCCAAAAACTGCGATCCTCATGCGATTGCCGCCCTTTGAGGGCTGCAACGACTGCTTCCGAGCATCTCCATGCCGGAGTGTAGGAGAAGAAGGGCTTGCTGGCGAGGGTAACTTCGAGGAGACCTCAGATCAAACAGAATCAAGCTTGCACAAGGGGGACATATTTCCGTGGCGCACTGAAGACTGAGACGGAGAGAACAAACTGGTGACTGGCTGCTGAAGATCGATGTGCACAACTTCCTGACAGGCAGGGCACTAGCCGTCACTAGCCTGCTCTTACAAAACAGCGGCCAAGAACCTTCACTTTGGCTGCAGCTAAGAGTTGTCTGGCAACCGCATGGACGCCAGTCACTCCTGCGAGACGTTGGCTTGCCAAAAGTTATTGGCTAAGGCTAAGCCCTGAGCCTATCACTTCTTTGAGGTCAAACCTGAGATGTTTTTTGTACGTCCTTCTCGCAAACTGTGAGGAGGTGGAGAACCACCTGGTCACGATCACAACAGGTTCCCACTGGCACACTGGTGAACTGCTGCCCCTCATGCAGGAATGAAATGCATGCATGCAACAAAGCTCCGCATTCTGTGAGGTTCCTGCGGGCATTCAGCTGTGTAGGTCGCACGGTGCTTCCTTGATTTGTGAGGACAAGGCAGAACAACCCTGCCAAAATGTTGGATGTATTGTTGAGGGCATGGCCGTTTGAAATCTTTGAAGGTGCTTGTTGCTCTCTTCCCTTCCAAGAGCCGCATGCATAGGTTGCACGGCGTAGACCTGGTGGTCCCTGGCCGGCCTGGGAGCGCTGAAAAGCATCGCAGCATCGCAAGATTAAGTCATCGTGCAGGTGCAACCGATCTCCTTCAATTTGGAGATCGTGCAGCCACGGCACTTTCCTGACTGATGGCCTTTGATCAGTCGACTTGCTGTGCGGTGCTTGGCACCGGGAGCCTGCACAACACGAATCCGCGTGCAGGTGCCAGCAAAGTGCCTGTTCCACCGGTTCCACACTTCCACCCACCTTCATACAGCACTTGCCCCACATGATTTGCTGGGCTCATTCTGGCCAACCCCTTTGAACCAGTCAAGTTAGAGCTGGTTCCCCAACCATTTATAGAGGTGTTGAAGGCTTCAGTAGGGTCTCTTCGTCTGAAACTTCTGATTCGTTCTGGAGTGATGCATCCTGTTCTTTTGTGGACATGTCAAGAATCCACTGTCAAGTGTGAGGCTAATTGGCTGCACAAGTTTGCCGTCGAAAGCTTGCAAAGCCACAGCACACCCACCGGTGCAACTTAGTTTCCAGCTACCTGTCGCATCCATAGATCTCAAGAGCCAAGCACATGGGGCGACAGTGTGAGAAAAAAAAAGCTAGTGAGTCCAACTTTGCTGCAAACCCAGTTCTCTAAAGATGGAGTTTTACTGAACTGTTCTCTCTCTCTCTCACTCATCTGACACAATTTAGCCTCATTGCACCTTGCCTGGCCAAGACCCTCCCAGAGCCAAAATGCTGCAAACCAAATTCATCAAAACTCTACTGACCAGGCTGACCAGGCTGCATGCATGCATGCATGCATGGTGACTGCATTGAAAAATTGGAACGAAATCACTCCGGCTTTTTCGTGGTTCCGTCAGTTCCCAAGCCCCCAGCTGACAACCTTGCCATGCCGAAGCATAAAACTGGCTTTGCCGCTTCGACACAACCTTACTGTTGCTGCCGGCTGGAGATCTCGGCGCAAAGCCTCTGAACTGCTGACAGCTTTTACTGGAGGAGTCGTTCACGATCAAAGAAGAAGGCACAGTCTTCACTGTATTAACCTTCCGCAAAAAGGTGAGGCTTCGAAAGAATTCAAGGCAAACTGTAGCCCTCATCAAGTCCCACAACATGGCCGACAAGTGCAAGGGCAACATCAAGGGAGAGGTATCGTCCTGGGCAAATCCGAGGATACACCTTTTCATCGTCTGGCGTCCCAAATGCCCCATTCCAAGTCAAAGCCATGTTTAGTTCTGTCCTGCTTGGATCAAAGACATCTGGATTCGCAAACACGGTTGGATCGCGATTGGCCATTGACAATGTATAATTGTGGAAGGTGTTCTCCGGCATGGTGTACTTTCTGCCCTTCAAAGTGACAACCCTTGTTTCTTTGCTCACTGATGTGGCACTTGTCACCGGCGGGTCTATGCGGCAGGCCTCCTTGATGTATGAAAGCGGGTCATTCTTGAAGGCTTCGACCATGGATTCTATTGTTGGAAACTTCTCAAAGTTGATGAGATGTGCACTGGCTTCCTCAGGAATTTTTCTTTGCAAGAAGGCCCCAACTGTTTCGCAGCAGGCAGACGTTCCGCCAATGCCGGCAAAGCCCACGGCAAACATCATCTCATCGCAAAGTTTGACCACTGGAGTGCGCTTGTATCTTTCTGGTAACTTCTCATTGATGTCAACAATGAACGATTCCAAGCCATGCTTTTCAATGACGGCAACACTGTTAGCCCGAAGGCTTTTGACTTTCCGAATGCCAAAGTTGAAAAGGAAACGATGGACCAACCTGGGAAGGACAAAATACAGCGCATTGTCCCGCCAACCCCGCATGATTTCGGCATCCTCATTTGGCAGCCAAACCCCAAACATCATGTAGAAAACGCATTTGGCCACCATCAAACGGACACGTGGTGTGTCACTGAGATCCGTCAGCTGCGGATTTGGCCATTCCGCTGCAACCAAAGAGCGCAACTTTTTACTTCGCTCTATGTACCATGAAGCCCCTCGGTCCAACAAAGTGCAGTGCAAAGCACTGCGCATGTGGGCCCATTCGCTGTCAGGACCATCGTTGGAGAGAAACAGCAAAATGTTTGTGGCGAACAGGTCTGGCACACAAGCCTGGATGCAGCCAAAAGCCGAAGCCCGTTTTTGCTCGGACTTGGTGATCTCACTGCACTCTTGGTACTTGACGGCCCAGTAGCCTTCCCCGTGCCAGTAATGGTCGCCCTCGCCAAATGCTTTCCACTCCCAAATGAAAAGGGCCAAGCGGCTCTTGCTGTTTGCAATCAAGGCAACCAGACCTCCAATGACATATCGCCACCAGGCTGGGGCTAAAATGCAAGGCCGGCCACATTCAGCAGAACCCATGCCAGAGCAACACAACCATTGCGGAATGCACTGGCAGCAATAGCAACCCAGAACAAAAAATGCCATGAAAGCCTGGCACAAGCCACCGATGATTCCTTGAATGCAACTGATGGGCAAAGTTAGCCACATGCAAATCACCGAAATCCAAGAGGCATCGCCGGTCACGTTTTCAAGCGGAGCCCCCAAAACAGAGTTTATGTCACCCCAGCCCTCTGGTTTCTCACGTTTTGGCTCGGCAGCTTCGCTCATGGCGCTACACAACTATGTTTCAGTTGTTACTTGTCTTGGCCCACCCAGATCCTGACACGGCTGCATTATGCAAATTCGATGCCACACAAAAGGATTACAAGAAAACGGTTGCGTGAACCCCTCGTGACAACTGCAAACAAATTGGTGCAAGAAATCATGGGAACATGCTTAACTTGGCCCAGCCCTTGCGGATGGCAAAGTTGCATGATTCACCGGCATTGTGATGACAAACATGCTTTGCGGTTTCACAGTTGCACGTGCATTTCCAGTTTTGGGGCCAAACCCCACTCCACCCAACATTACGATCATTATGGGAAAGGGCAGGCGATGGCTGTGCTCCAGGAGGGAAATCAGGACACTCCTGGCATCATGCAAGGGCATTTGTGCTGCTGCTCAGGTTGTTCCGGAAAGAAGAAAAGATCCCGAAGAAACCATGCCGTGTGATGGGATCAGGGGATAGTTCCGAAGTACACTGCGTTGTCATCGAAGTTCGCGCGCACGGAAACAGAGTTCCAGAGCTCCAAGAATTCCAGCTGGAATGGCTCAATCAAAACCTGGGCCCATGAACTCTAAGTGGGCCGATGGTTCCAACAAAAAATTGTGAAAAACCTGGGTTCAGGGGCCAAAGCAAAATTTCTGAAAAACCATCGGCCCCAACTAGCAAGACCTTTCTGCGGGCCACGCCAAAGAGGCGACACCCTGCAGCGGCACAAGCACTCAAGCTCCAATGCGCACACCGCCGGCACCAGCACCCAGTCTCCACAAGCGCACGCTGACTGGCACGAACATCTAGCTGCAGCACCTGCAGGGGCACCAGCACGTAACCCCCAACAGATTGCCATGGCACCTGCGGTGGCACCAGCACGCAATTTCCAATGCGCGCACTGCCATAAACATCTAGTGGCGGCACCCTGCAGCGGCACCAGCACTCAAGCTCCACAAGCGCACCCTGCCATCAACGGCACGCCCAAGCTCCAAGCGCGCACGGCCACACATCTGGCAGCAGCGCCCTGCAGTGCAGCAGCACCAGCACCCAAGCTCCGAAGCAGCGGCCAGCACCCAAGCTCCAAAGTGCACACACGCACCTCTTCCACTTGCAACCTGCCAAAAAGATACACCAGCATGGACCCCAACGAAAACGCGCCGGCCACGCCAACTTGCGACACCCCGCCTTAGAATTCAGCGGTTTGTCGCTGGATTCTACCTTCCAGACTTTCATTTCAATCCTTCATGTGAAACTTGGCTGGCCTCACTCCGTTCCGCAGCTCATTTCATGCCACAAGCACTGATTGCAGTCGTTTCGCCAACTCATTGAACATTCTGAGTTCATCCACCTTCATTCTCCTTGTTGTCATCGTCGTTTACGACATTGCGCTCATCATCTTCTTCCACTTCGTCACTTCGTACTCTTCTTCTGTTTCTTCAAGCTCCACATGGTCGTAGTTCCAATCAGATCTTCACTTTCCTCGATCTGCGCCAATCCTCTGCTCTTCTGTCTCCTCCATCACTTCTTTTTCTTCTTCTTCTTCTTCTTCTTCCTCCTGCTTCTTCTTCTGCTGCTTCCTCCTCATCATCTATCTCGTCGCTTCCTCCTGGACACGTCTCATTGTCGGTGAAAAGGTCCGCTCTCAATCCGTTTGTTGAAAGTTATGGTCCCCGCGCGGTAGGCCAAAGGACCCTGCCTGCCACATAGTAATATTGCAAGTAGTGAGGCGTGGTCCTTGCAGACCGAATATCCCTTCTCAGGTCGGGATCTGGTTGGTACTCAAGGCTTCTGACGTGTTCACTCAAGTTGCGGCATGCTAAGGTCAGAGCAGCCTCAGGTCCATGCGTCCATGCCCTTCATTGATTATAATCGCCCTCATCTCTTTAAATTATTGTGGATCACTTTGGATTCCTGCCAAGCCCCAAATAACCAGCGTTCTCATCGAGCCAAGCACGAACCAAGTCGCATCATTCTGTTCTCTGCATAGTTTGCCGGATCCATGCCATAGCTCACAAGACTTGCTGCCACTCTATCTAAAAGACTTGGCCTGTAAATATTCGCTTCATTGTTCTCCGTTGTTTCACCTTCTGGTCCTCTTGAAGACGAACTCGGTTCCATCCTCCTTGAGGATGAACTTTGCTTATCGTCTACCCCAAAAAGGAGGATTACGCAGAAGTCAACTGGAGACGCAGCAGCTGGTCGGGGAACAAGCTCAAGAGGAGACGCAGAGGCTGAGGATCTACCAGAAAGAGTGCTTCAGCCAGAAGAGGCGCACGCGATGGAAGCGCCAGATGAACAAAGCAAAGAAGAAAAGGAAGAGGATGATGAGAATGAGTTGCGTGTACTGCAAAATCTTCCATATATGTATCCATCAATAGTTGTATCCATCAATAGTGTCTCCATCATCCGGTCCTCCACCATCAGGGAATTCGTCATCATCTTCATTTCCTTCTTCTTCCTCACCTTCTTGATTTCCATCTTCATCCGCTGGCCGTAGTGGGTCTTCGCTTCTTCTCAGGCTGAGTTCTGCCCTCATCTCTCGCCATGCTATGCGATATAGGCCAGTGAAGTTCTGATCTTCTGAATCCAAAACACAGTCACTGACATCACAAACGGCAAGAAAAGTACTGTAGAGCTCCACAAGTAAATGCACCACATGCTCTGGACGACGGTGCTCCTCATGCCCTCACAACTGCCTTCAACTGGTGAGCGCCCTTTCAAAAGACCTGCAACCATGAGCATCTGTACAATTCGGTGGACTCCAGGAATGCTGGCCGGCTGACAGCTGTCACTGTGCAAAACAATGTCTTGCCAAACGCTTTCTCCTCTCGCTTGTCAAATCCTTTGCGTTGAGGTCTGCAAGGTTTTCTTTTGTTGGGATCGGGCCTGAACTGGTCGACTTCCTGGATGACTTTGAAGATGCCCAATCACTGCCACCGAAAAGCTGGAGACAGTGCGCGCGGCTCCCTTTTCTCACATGCTCGCATGATAGGTGCTTCCACCTGCCAAACACGCTGCTCTGATTCTAACTCTTCTCGAACCCTCAGCACCATGTCCTGTGTTGTCTGCAGCTACGATGTGCGCTTCTTGATTGCAGCCATCGCGGTCTTTGTGGACGTCGATGATTCGACGTCGA